AAAATTATTCGCATTATCTTGCCGTACATTCCTGTTTTCGGCATTTTCCAATGCGCTCATTCTGGCAGATAGGTCGTCCAGTTGGCTCTTAACATTGCTGCAGTTGTTGAATATCTGGTCTAATACTTTCGTTAGACTCGACACGTTTACTCTTAACGAGTCTAGCAGCTCGAGCGTCTTCTCATTTTCTCTGGACCGGAAAATGAGGTCTTGGATCATTACAGCGAATGCTGGCGGGAGTTGAAACTGGCTACCATCATTAGCCGTTATAGTAATATTCTGCTAGTACTCTCGCCGTCGTCCAGTACGTTTGTGATGCTTATCACTGTTTCCTGAATCCGCGATATCACCTCTGCACTTTGCATTAGCTGCCCTTCTTGCTGGATTGCTGTGTTGGTTGTCGACTTCCACGAAATCCGCCGCAGAGTAGTCGCCTAACAACCAATTTTGCAGTCGCTCAGCTCTCGAGAGCTTATTCCCGCTTTTCTTGAGCTCCAAGTGTTCGAGGTATTCGTTTATTTCCTCGTCTTGGAGCATCAACACCCAGTCTTCGACTTCTTTTTGAGTGCAGTCCATTGTCATCTGTTAGTTATGTCGCGACTAGTTTTTATACAGATTTACACGCTTGTTTGACGGATGATGCAAGTACGAGTGCTATATGTAATGCTTATAAGCAAACACGCAAAAATTTAGACTTTACTGGCCGACAATAGGCTCAACAAAGGGCATTTAATGTTGTGTTTATCGAAAGACTCTTTGCTTGCTATTGCACAATATAATGATCCTGCCTATCAGGCGCACTAACTGTTTGTTAGCGCGGCTGTATTAGTTAGTATCTAAAATATTATAACGAGCGTCTATATGCGTAGTCACCAATAACCGCAATTAGCAATATTCGAAAAAAATACATTTACGCTAAGACAACACGTTACCAAATAAAACTATTAATTTGAGTTTCTTTTGTTTGAATGTTGCCGGTATTAGTTTTCTCCGGGCCTACGGGTACAATATTATTTATTTGCGGCAACTTTCAAAACCTATTGGTGTTTACGCTATGGCTAAGAGTCATTCGGCCGCACTCGCACGCGCTTACAACGATTGTTTACCAATTATCGTCGCGGCGGGCCTTCGCAAGCTAACTAACAGAGAGGCGATGTTTACTACGTGGCTTTTAACTCAAAGTGTGCACAACAACACTTTGATTGACACCTAAGTCGCTGGTTGACTGAGCGCAAGTTCAATGTTTAGAACCGGCGTTTTGAACATTCATAAACGCTGTAGGTTCTTTTACGTTGGGCGCCATGTAACGGGGTTGATACCCGTCTATTTATTTATGCGCTCGATCGCATCGAAGAGCGCGCGGAATTATCTAAACGTTTAAATTCGTATACTGGAGAGCAGGAGGGAACGGGCGTCAGTCAACCAACTTTCTACTAGCGAGAAATAATAACATCAAAATTACAGTCAATATCACATGCAAGATCGCTTATTTCCTCTTATCTCTACAATATATTCGGCCCGCGTGTTTATGTTTACAAAGCGCGCGCGCGCGACAATAACATGCAGTGTCGGATCGCTCGCTGCTCTTTGTTCGTCGAGTTAATACATGCACGTTTCTTACTGAGCACGAGAGATTAGTTATTAGCAATCATACAGCAATCGCGATATTAAGGTGGCCAGCTTATCTTATTAGCAGTTGCACAGTTAACACGAGAATAAACAGTTCGCAATCAAGTCTCGGAGCAATCCGCTTTTGTGACGAAGCAACTCGCGCTTTCGGTTTCGCCCTCGATGGCGAAACCCCTCACTCACACGTGCTTGCACGCACTCGTTCCAGTCAGGTGAAGGCACAGCTCCTGTCGGTCCTGGTCAGCTCGTCTCGGCACTCAGAAAAACTCGGGAAAAAAAACTCTAATTGCAACTAGCTGCAGCGGAGTGTTCAGGTTCTAATCCTTGACTGGTTCATTTTCATACGCGCGCGTTCCGTCTCGTCTCGTGCCGGATTCTCTCGTTACATCTTTCCCCAACCGATAGGTGCTGCCCCCGCAGGTAGCCGCATGGTTGGGCTGTCAACGCTAATAAGACGTTTACCGTCACAATATATGTATAGATCTATAAATGATAATTAGACCTCGTATTATTTTCGTGTTTATTTTTAAGAGATATTTCTCGCCATTTTGGTACCATTAAAATAAAATGTATTAAACATATTTTTATTTGTCATAAATTATGTTTGAGCTAAAGATATATTTTATTAAAAAAAAATGGGATACCCCACATACGGTGTATAAAATCAATTATTTTAAGAAAAATCAACTGATAAACTCAATTCTCCCAAAGTTAGGTCTATTAGCCTATATTTGGTTGGGTAAGGATGGTTTATGGGGGTTTGGTGGGTTAGAGGCAGGTTGGTTAGTTGAGGTAGCTCACTTAGGCATAGGATTAAATTATTTCAGGAGGTTGTTTTAGCTGATGTGTGAGAGCTTGCATTGTCATGATGAAGAATGATCCTTCGTTGTCGCTTCTTTTTTCGTATTTCACCAAGCACTTCTGGCAAACAAATGGTTGTGTATCATTCAGAATTTACTGTTCTACGATGCTATAACGGTACAGTTGCCACATGTCCAGTTATTCCAAAGAAACAGGCGATCATTTGCTTCGAAGTGCTTCGCGCACGAATCACTTTTGATGGATTCGGCTCGTCTTGGAAGAACCATACAGTGGATTGCTGTTTTGTTTCGGGCTCATATGCATAGATCCAAGATTCGTCACCTGTGTAGATGTTATACACAGCGTTTGATGCACCGCGATTGTATTTTTTGAGCATTTCTTTGCACCAATTGATGCGAGCATCTTTTTGAGCTTTTGTCAAATTATGGGGGATCCAACGTGAACAAATCTTTTTTACAGCTAAATGTTCATGCAATATCTTATTGATGCTCGTCATACTAATGCCCAAGGATGCCTCAATCTCACGATGTGTTACATGCCGATCTTGCTTTATTAGTTCGTGCACAGCATCAATGTTTTCTGGCACAACAACTGATTTTGGACGACCTCCACGACTTTCATCCCCGAGCGAACTGCGGCCACGATTAAATTCGTTATACCAGCGTTTCACAGTGGCAAGGGATGGGGCTTCATCGCCAAAAGTCGAAGTAAGTTGATCGATGCACTCCTGTCTTGATAGCCCACGTCGAAAGTCGTAGAAAATCATCGCACGAAAATGCTCACGAGTTAATTCCATTTTTTGCCCGAGATGAATTTTTCAAGTTACTTAACAAGTTTTTAACACAAATTGCACTCAAATGAAAAAATGTTCTGAAGAAGGTTATGGTTAAAAATGTCAAACTTTCCACTGGAAACGTCAGATGGCCCCTCTAAACACTTAGTATTGCCAAGGCTCAAAATATAAGTAGCAACCCTCGTATACAGCTGGGATAACTCGCTTATGGTGTCAAATTCAATTATTTCAAGAAATAACAAACGACTAAAGTTGCTTTTCACAGGATTAGGTGGGTTAGCTTGCATGTGGTTCGGTAAGGGTGGTTTATGCGGGTTTGGTGGGTTAGAGGGAGGTTGGTTAGTTGAGGTAGCTCGCTCATGCATAGGATTAAATTATTTCAAGAAATAACAAACGAATAAACTTGTTTATCCCAGGGTTAGGTGGATTAACCTGCTGATAGTTTGACTGGGGTGGTTTCTAGGGGGTGAAACACCCCTTAAATATTTTTTTTAAATCCGGAAACACATTAATTTAATTTTGGTATTTTTTCATTATCAGTACGATTATTAAATCACTCGAGCTGATTTACTATATTACATGTCGTAAAAGAGTACAAAAAATAGTGTATTTACCCCTATTAAAAAGGGGGTTGCAACCCTTCGGTATAAATGTTATGTCCTTAAAAGCGCCTTTTTATAAGACATTTTTTAACGTTGAGTTTACTGAAAAATATTCATTTGATGCTGAGAAATATTAAAAAACTGATTTTAGGGGTTGATATTCAGGGTAGATTTCACCCCTTAAAAGCCCTTATGGGCCGATAAAAAAAAACACGTATGTAATTTTTTTTCAAGTACTACAACATATCCCAAAATCATTTAAATCGGTGAGGTCGGGTTGGGGTGGTTCCCTTGTTAGTTGTTCGAACTAACATCGTGAATATACGAATCGCGAACGGATCGATTAATCGAATCGACTACCGTTGCAGTTTATAATAAAAAATTTGAAGACAAATTTTTTTTTTATATTCGTAATAATGAATTTTTGAAAAGCTAACATACTTAATGTAAGCTGTGATAAAAATCTATCGAATCCAATGAGATATGTAGCATATTTAATAGAATGTTTGTATACGATAAAAGAAATGAACTAATCTTTAAAAATCTAAAAATGAAGCTATGAGGTTTTAATAACTTATTCACTGATATAAATATATGATCTTCTGTAGTTCACAAAATAAAGTAGAAATAAACAATATTTGATATGTTTATATTTGTACCCAAACAAAGATTTCTATAGGTAAATAGACGCTTTAAAATAAAAATCTTTTTACAAATTAGATAGATTAAAATTTTTATTTTATTGCCAAAATTTTATTTTAAGATTTTACAAATAACGCATTATATAATCTCAGATAACGTGTTTTATGATATTTAAATTAATCATTTCGAATCTAGTTTACTGATATTTTGCGGACTTAATGCAGTTAAGTTATTATTATTTTACTGTACGCCCGAGCGTGTTAGCATTATTTTGAATAAAGCTTTGAAGTCATACAAATTTCTGATTTTCTAATTAACACTATTGATTTTTAAGTGAATACGGCATTTCTCACAAACTCAACTATTGTTACATGAATTTTTTCATTATCATTTCTTTACATATTCTACTTAGAAATTTGTTACTTGTGCATACGATTCAAATTTTATAAATGAGATGCATCAATGTATATAGCGTGTATATTAATTTCTTATTCTATAACTTTTTATTCTAGGTTTCATGTTTAATGGCAGCATTCCGTAAAGGTCACATCAAAATTATTAAATGGATGGTTAATCATGTAACACAATTTCCTAGTGATCAAGAAATGACAAGATATGTTGCTACAATCAGTGACAAAGACATACTAGAAAGGTGCCAAGAATGCATTAAAATTATAAGAGCAGCAAAGGAAACGCAAGCGGCAAAAGCTAATAAGAATGCCACTATTTTGCTCGAAGAATTAGATATGGAGAAAACAAGAGAAGAATCGAAAAAAGCGGCGGCAGCACGTAGGCGAGAACGAAAGAAGAAGAAAAAATTAGAAAAAAAAGAAGAAAAAAGAAAACTTCACGCAGAAAATAATAAAAATGAAGGCATATATAAAATTAATGATATGTCAAAAACTAGAATAGATGGAAATGGATCTTATAATGAAGATTATCATCTTAATGTTGAACAGACCCGTGATAATTTAAATGAGCATACGACTGAATTAAATAAAAATATATCAATCACCGAGGAAACAAAAGATAACAATACATTCACTAATATTATAGAACACGATGACATGTCAATGAGGGAGAAGAAAAAGGAAAAAAAAAAGAAAAAGTTTGCATGTAGTAGTTTCAATGTTTCTATCAACGAAAGCAATATGTCTTATGTTCATGTGATATCGACTGCTGGTCAATATAGTCCATCAACAACTGAAGGATGTTTTACTACTTACGACATTGATAAGTAAGTTAAAATTTTCTTTATTTCTTCCGAAATCTTTTTCTGTATATAATAATAAATTGTGTCGATCTGTTTTTATAACTTGAATTTACTATAAAATATAAAATGAAAATATAGCCTGTCATTATATTTAAATAAAAACTAAATTTACGATTATTTTGTATACAATTACTTTTTCATTTTAGATTTATTTATTTATAATTATATAACTACAGGGAAGAAAAATGAATTTCCTATACAGAGTGGGAAAAAAATATCGAAATCCCAGAAAATTAAAGAGAACAAGTATTAATAAACAATTTCCAAGGTTAGAATTTCAGTAATTATCACCGCGGAATTCAATAGTGACCTTAGTTTTGCTCTTGAACCTCACCTTCAATGTTATTTCAAGGTCATCTTAAATTTTTTTAATGGGAACCCCTTTTTTTTACATCGGTATTTGAATTAGTGAAAATCTATATGTTTAAAAATAAAATATAAGGTCTAAATGATCTCTACTGAGAGTCAAATAAATAAGTCAAATAAATATCAAAAAGATGTTGGCAAGAAAACCTATGGCTTGATTGGTAAAAGAAATTATGAATGACTTTAGTTATTTTTAATGAGGAAACCAATAATGACCTTAGACTTAATTTTGATTCTCATTTTGAAGATCATTTTAAGGTCAACTTCAATTCTTTAAAGAAATTTTCTGCTTATGATCCTACCAATTAAGAGAGATTTATTTAGATGGATATTTTGTAAAATTTGAAAAATGTTTTGTACTAAAGTTGTTCGATTTATCACGGTAACCTTATGAGCTTATGAAAGTTAATCTAGAAATTGAACCTCAAAATAATTTTTGTTAGCGACATTATGCTTTATTTCATGTAGCTTAAAAACAGCGACGTAGATGTAGAAGGACTCTATTTCCTTTGAAGTGTTTGATAAAATTGAGTCCACTTACCTCTCACCGGGGTACATGATTAACGTGAATTCTCTTGCCTTTCACTGAAATGCTTGATTAACATGAGTCCCCTTGCTTCTCGCTACCGTGCTTTTGTGATGCATTCCAATTGAAGAATTCAGAATAGATGTTTGAATTGCTCTTCATTAACTTCTTGACAGTTAGTGCAGGCAATCTAGGTTCGTACAATGTTATTTTCAGATAAATATCCAGAGTCGATTTTATTTTATGAAACGGTTCCAATGTTGATGCTCAATAGATTATCAATTTATCCTCGATCGGTGTAGAAGTTTGTTTAAACAATGTGTTTTGATTGAAAAACTGTTTTTTTTTCTCAATATCTCAACCGGTTATGAATTTAGATAAAAATAGTTCAAACCCTTTTTTTTACTAAAATCCACATCAAATGAAAGGTCACTCATCAAAATCGGTAAATAAGATAATAAATTATTAACAAAAAACTGTTAAAATTACATGTTTTTCAATAATTTTTCTCATTTGCATTGAAAAAGATAATTATACTGAAATAAGTCCAAACATTACGTTCTTGTCAGAGAAGTAAGTGTAATTTTTTTAGTTTTCGAAATTATGAATATTGAATAAACTTGACATTATTTACATAAAAAAGGCTTAATTGCAAATTAACATTACTTTCTCGATAAATATTGTCTAAAGCTCATCGATGTCTCGTTCAATTCCTTTTGAGTTATAGTTCTCGAATTCTACAAGAAACACTGTCATTTTTATCTATTTTTCATTGAAAAATTGATGTCAATTATTCAACAATTTTAAACGATGTAAAAAACCTGCTATCTTTGCCGGATTTTTTCATAGCAATTTGCAATAACATTTTTTCAATTATAGATCATTCATATTATAGTTAAAGTCCACAATGGTCTCTGTGGCTTTATCAGGAACGAAGTTACAATTTCTTTTTTTCAAAAAATCGCAGCGCGTTTAATTATTGGGTTATTGAAACGAAAATACTTTTAGCCTATATTTTTAATGTTAAACTTACATATCCACTATTTGAAACTTATTCATTTATTTATTTATATGGAAAAATCATTGCAATACCATGATGCGGTCTCCATGGCCTCAAAACCCAGTGCTCTAACTCAGAAACTCACCATCTGTTTTTAACATTTTTTTTTTAAGGAGAAGCAAACAAAAATATTAACAATTAGCATACTTTTGAGATCAACTAGTGTATGCTTCATTTTTTTATACATGACTTTATAATTTTTACGAATTTTTTTCTCAGTATGATATATTTTTTAATGGACAATTAGTATAATGCACAAATGTTTACCAAAATTTCAATAATAATTCATAAAAGTTCATTTGTATGCATTTAGGTAAGTCTATACAGAAATATTTATTTAATTAATCATAGAAATAGTTATAAATATTACAAGAATATGATTCATTGGTTTAGCTCAAGTGTTAACTATATTATTTAATTATATTATTTACAAATTTCGACGAGCGACCTTTCATTCGATGTGGATTTTTAGTAAAAAAAAGGTTTGAATTATTTTTATCTAAATTTATAACCGATTGAGATATTGCGAAAAAACCAGTTTTTCAATCAAAACGCATTATTTAAACAAAATTCCACATCTCTTCGATCGAGGATAAATTGAAAATCTGTTGAACATCAATATTGGAACCATTTCATGAATTAAAATTGACTCTGAACATTTGTCCGTCACCACATTTAGTTTGCCTACACTAAGTAACTAATCCTATTGTAAAAGGATTCCACCACATTTCGAATAATATCACTTACAAGGGAAGGCAGAGAGGTGTCCCTCTCCAATTTTCTTGAAACTTTGCACATCAGTAGATTATCGAAAAATATTAAATATGTGTTTTTTTAGCCGCTAATACGAAGATGAAGGAGTGAAAACAACCCTTGAAGTTTACCCTAAATATCGCCATTAAAACACTTTTACAGATGTTTTCACTTCCAATCAATATTTTTGAACCAAATAAAATTATTTTTAATGACCTCTAATAGGGGGTGAAAATCACCCTTAATTCATCCCTAAAATACTTTTACAGATAATTTAATTTCTAATTAATATTTCTGAACCAAATAAAATTATTTTTATTAATCCAACAACCCAATAGTAAAATCGACTTAACAGTTTGCCTCCCTTATTTTGGAGGAGGTAGATTCGTATTTTATCAAGTATATTTATGTAATAAAAATTCAAAAATTAACTCAAAATAAATAAATAAATTATTTTTACAATCTTCTAGAGCTTTTTTATGTAACGTTTAAGTGTTTCTCGCGTTATGAAAATAAAAGTTCGGACTCTTTACAGTAAATTCGCAATAACGTTTCCGAAAAAAGCAAGAATTTGACACGCGCGCAATCTAAATGATCAAAAGAAAGTCTTTCGAGTGGCAAACCACGAGGCTTCCCAACTTGATGAGTTGTTTTCGAGATGCGATTGAGAGCAATTGCATCTATCGGGGAAAGGCCCGACAGCGCCGCAATTACTGCTCAATCTGATCTCTCAACAGCAAGTATATTTCAGAAGGGAAGATCTCTAAGGCTGCTTTTTTCTCATGAGAGAGATGGTCTCATGAGTTGAGCGCTTAGAGATCTATAGGATGGGAGTTTAACAGGCTAACCACTGATCAAGAAATTCGTCTCAGGAGATAGCTGAGGCTTTATTTCAACAACAGTGCTCGCGCTGCTAAGCAAGGTAGGAAAGTGAGTCCTTTTGCCGCAGCGACGAGCGAATTTATACATGCGAAATGGGCTCCTTTCTACGCTTGGTAGCCCCTACAACGCTATTTTTGTCTTTGACGCAAATTTTGTACATGTTTTATCGCAAAATGGCTCGATCGAATTTACAATTATGCGATTTAAAAAATTAAACTAGAAAAGATGAATTTTTTAATATAAATTGCATCTCTAGGAAAAATCGCCTCTTAAAGTTATAAGCTATACAATTTAATAATCAAATTACGCCATTTTTACAATAATATTATGGAAAATTTTTACATGGAAAAATCGCTTGTGGTTAGAAGATTGTTATCTATATAAAAGATGATTAATGTTGCTCTCTAATTTTGAATAATAATTAAAAAACAGATTTGCAATTTTCTTTTTTAGCGGTTTAAAAATCAGCAAATTAGTAGCAATCATAATCATCAATTTTACAGACACTTATGATCGATTTTCTATCTAACCGTGTCATTTTAATTGTTTAAAAAAATTATAAATTGTTTATTTATTGATAACTCAGTTGATAATAGGTTATCAAAGTGTCAAATTCTTGCTTTTCTGTTTTAATACGTCGAGATTGTAATCGCATACTTGAAATAACAATATCGTTGTTTATTGCAAAATAACTAACAATGTTAACTTGTAAATTAGATTTGACTAATAAATATCGATTTGAGAGTTAAATTAACATGAAATTCAGGATCAGCGCATCAAATTTAACTAAGAAATACTTTTGTTCGTTTAAAAAACTTTATAATTAACGATTTTCGGTTGTAAACAATAAATTTTCCCACGGTCGTGACGTCACGCTCCTTATATGGTAATGTTTTCGCAGAGTTGCCCTAACACATTTGCATATACGTGTGAAAAGCACTTACGCTCAATTACCGATTTTCTTTAATTGTCTCGTGTGTGACGGGTTGCCGTTTTACATAGGAAAATAGGAGACAAATCAGACAGGACCGTTACATTACAGATCACGAGTTCTTTATCAAAATTAAAAAATTTAAGTTGGTGGATCCAATACGCTCGACGAAACATTTTAAAAACTTTTAATTTCGATAAATAGTGGCTTTTTGACGCCGTTTAATATCAATTTATAACCATATTTTCAAACTTCACGATATTGAATCTAATATGGTGGAAGAAATTGACAATGAGACTGAGATGTATGATTTTTGCAGAAAATTTTTACAGCAAAATTTTATATATAATAGTTTTATAAGAAAAAAATTAGTTTTTATTTATTTTTATTTATAGTTATTCAATTTACATAAAGTTTGTTAAATTAAAATTTTAATTAATTAAAAT